ATATATATATTGCTACAAAATGGTCCTTCATTTATATTCCCCTTTTCTGTTTTGTCAGAGATGAGAGTTCCATTGCCATTCAAATATTGTAGGTGTGTGAATTCAGCAAAATAACCCAATATAGTCCAGTATTCCATAATAGCAGTGGGTTATCAGCAGAACTGGCAATTTCAGAAGTTGTTGACTTGAGCCTTTTACAGCTCAGGATATCAATATGGCTTTACTTTTATACCTCGAGATTATACTTTTTGGTGCCTGCTTAGGACAAGTTAAAACAAGACCCATATAACTAAAAATGTAACATTTGTATATGACAAACTCAATCAAATCCCTTTAAGATTTACCCTGAAACCATATACAGCAGTTTGTAGATCCTTTGTCAGTGTCAGCCATGTGGATGAGTCACAGCCATTGCTTGACCAGTTTACTCTTTGTGAAAGCCTGAGAGAATATTTTCTCTCTAGGTGACTCTTCTTAGGCACACTCGACATCATCAATCACTTTCCCCTGTGGTTCCATAATCTCCTTGATCAGAAAATTTGGGGCACCACTGAGTTATAGGATGTTCCAGTAGCGGTTCTCTTATGTCCTGAGTCCTCACTGGCGTTGAAGGGCTTGGGCCAAAATATTGGCTATACTTGTAGCTCTTCTTTTTCTCTAATTTTTGGTCTGCCAACCTAAGTCCTTAACCATCCACAAGAGAAGCTTAATGACATTATTACATTATAAGGCAGTTGAGATTAATATCATTATCTGTCTGAATACCAAACACCTTAGACATAACATGGAACAGGTATTTTCCATCATTCATTGATAATCTAAATTTTAAATCCCTATAGAATGTGAAAAAACAATTACACATTTTTGCACAGAAAATTAGCAATCTAACCACAATCAACATTTATAATATTTTGCAGTATTATATAGTCTTTTAGTGACTCTGACCAATAATAGCCTTATATCTTATCTTCACGCATATTGCATGTTTTACCTTTAAGTGAAACTTTTCTCTTTTTTTGAAAAGGTAATCGTCATAATGATAATGGGATTGATTATAGGTGGCATCTTCCTTGTGCTAAAAAATGATTGTAATGAAATCCAGAATAGGTAAGTAAATGGCAACTTTCATTTTAGGAAAATAAAATTACCTTTTTTTTCAAAGTTTTATTGATAAACAGATAGCAATGAGACAGTTTCAAATCAAATCAGAAGTACAGTTTCAACAAATAATACACTGCATATATTCTTTTCAGTGGTTAATTGCTGTACAAGAAGTGGACTTGTGATCCTATTTACAAACACCATTAGAACAAATCATTCTATTCATTAAGA